TCTGTCACTCTGACATCTATCTGTGTGTGTGTGTGTGTGTGTGTGTGTGTGTGTGTGTGTGAGAGAGAGAGAGAGAGAGAGAGAGAGAGAGATAGAGTGAGAGAGAGAGAGAGAGAGAGAGAGAGAGAGAGAGAGAGAGAGAGAGAGAGAGAGAGAGAGAGAGAGAGAGAGAGTGGGTGGCCGTAGATCTACAGTCTCCACCGCCACCAACACTCCCTCTCCACTTGTCTATTGTCGCCGCTTCACCACCTACCCAGGTCCGGCCGGCGGCAAACGCGTAACGACGCCTTTGGCAGAGCTATAATAATTTTAGCACGGCGGAAAAAAAATCTCGTGTCGCTATTAATAGGTTTGACGTGCGTGTGTGTGCCATTGGTCGCAATCTGTGACATTGCTGTAATAATATATTATCGAATTGCGCGCCCAGATCGGGAGGTTACTAGCGAGCAGGGTTATGATTATGAATTCATTAGATCGTTCCGCGCCGCTCTTGTTCAGTTGGACGTTTTACGGGAATGTGCGCCGACGGGAGATTCTTGCCCGATGCACGCGCGCATACGCCACGCTTTTGTGACAGTACAGACGTGTTGTGGTGCTTTTTTTTTTTTTTTGGGTTTTTGTTTTTAAAAGAAAAAATTCTTCTTGTGTGGAAATGACTTATTAGTACATGGTGTACTTATTGTGGCCGTGTCGCTGTGTCCGGTATTTGGAGTTTAGTAGTAGTAGTAGTATAGGGTTTTACGGCGCTTGCAACTGCGTAAGGTCGTATTATGAGCGCCTCCATGTTTGGAGTTTGTGTCGGGTTCTGTGAATCTGTGGAGTGCACACGTTTGCAGATTGATCGGCTTTGTACTGGCGGGGTTGGATTTGATTTATATAAGAGAGATAAACAAAAAAGAAGCGTAACTCCGTTATTCAAACAGATTTTCAATTAATAATAATAAAACGTGTAATAATAATAATAATAATAATAATAATAATAATAATATAATAATAATAATAATATAATAATAATAATAATAATAATATAATAATAATAATATAATAATAATAATAACAATATAATAATATTAATATTATTTTATTATTATTATTATTATTATATAATAGATGTAATAATAATTACATAATTCATGTAATAATAATAATAATAATCATAATATTCCTTCCTCTGGTATCCATCAGATGTCAAGGGGGAGGTCCAGGTTTCGGTTCTGTGCTAAGCGTGTGGCGTCTGCTGTATAGCGCAAATTCCCGCTCAACAGCAACTTATTGCTCTTTACAATTCCGTTTTCTTTATTTGAAAATCTAAAAGGCAGACAAGAACATGGTTACTGTAAAAATGTACAGATTTGTGTCTCCGGCATGTGTTTGATGGTTTTCATTATGCCTCAAATTGCCTTTAGTGAGTGGTTGGCGGGTGCTCTGGCGTGGTTTGGTCCTTCTTTGCTATCAGACATGTATCGTCCTTATCTCCCGTCCTTCCTTTTTTATGAATGTTATTCTCTTGTAACACCTCTAATCTTTTGCACTTAAACGACCATATTGCTGTGTTGCTAGTGCCGGGAAACTCTTACTGAAACAAGTTTGCTCCTGAAAGAGTTAGTTTACGCTTTGAAAGTTGTAATATAGACACTTTGTATGCCGGCAGATTGCAGAAACGAAAGTCCATTAGTTGTCGGCTCTATGTATTTATATAATATGTGGGTGTATATTTGTGGTGGTGGGTCATTTCATTATACGGATCACCGGTTCCCAGCGCGCATTTGTAACCTGATATACAAAACTGTAGTTGAGCCGTGTGGTGGGGGAATTCCTTCAATAAAGTTGTAAACGTGTACATTCATTTACTGTGTGCCCAGACATACATGTAATAATAATTATAAATCATGTAATATATAAAATATTATGTGAAAGTATACATACATATATATATGATTTGCTCCTCCTTTTCTATTCTTATCTCTCCTCTTACAATTTTGTGTTTGTTACTCGCTTGTAACATCTATCTATCTATCTATCTATCTATCTATCTATCTATCTATCTATCTATCTATCTATCTATCTATCTATCTATATATATATATATATATATATATATATATATATATATATATATATATATATATA